AGAGCGGTTTTATGCCAAGTGGAATCCAGCAGCATTGCCCTCAACACCCGGGGAAGTCAATTTTAAAACAGGGATTATAGCAGGAAGGCTGGCGATCAACAGATTGCACCAAGAGCTGGGAGCTAAAGGCTTTATTCAGGCAAGAAGGAGCCAGTTCCAGAGGCTGTTAAGGTGGGATGGTTGCCAGGTCCCTGAGGAGACAGGCAGAGTGCCCAGTGAGGAGGTTTAGGGAAGCTGGAGACAACCTTTAGAGAAAGGCCCCCTGTCATGAAATGAAGAAAGATGCTACATTAGTATATGAACCTCCAGTCCAATGTGATGCTTGGCTCACTTGCTTAAGTCATCTGCACAAAGATGCTTTTTCCATTCCATTCCCTTGCTGGTTAAAAGAATGTACTGTTGGTCTCTTGTCCGGGCTTCCCAAAACCTTCAAACCCACTTAACACACCCTAGGCCAGAGGTTTGATATGGTGACTTTGCTACTAATCTAAAACATCTCTATCTGTTCTTCAAAAAAAAATCACTTTTAGGTGTTTGTAGATCAAGTCGATGAGGATATTGTGGCTGTGACAAGGCACTGCCCTAACACACACCAGTCTGTCGTGGCTGTTTCCCGAACAGCTTTCAGAAATCCCAAAACTTCCTTTTACAGCCAAGAAGTTCCCCAGATGTGCATTCCAGGTAATACTGCCTACCTGTCAAAGCTAATAATTATGACCACTACTATATATATATTGCTATGCCTATATCTGAGGACAGTGCTTCATGCATTTGATGAAATGGAGGCCAATCTATAAAAGTAAATGCCACCACCTCTTAACTTTTTATGAGCTAACATGGAACTATCTAGCCTGAGCAAGTTTTGCATTTTGAAGTTCTTAACATTTAGAATTAAAGCTTATTCCTGGCTTACTTTGTAGCTGTTAATAGTTCTGAAGCAAAATTTTCTTCTTGTCTTTCACCAGTTGGAGAAATCGCTATGTTTCTTGCATATTGAATTGCTGTGTGTGACAGATGCCTGGTGAGCTGATGCACATGAACAGCTCACCACTATTAGTTCACTTCCTCATTCGGCTTCTCTTTTTTAGCCTGTGTTGGGGGCATAACAATACTTATTAAATGTTATGGGACAAAGTAGACAGGTTGCATTTGGCGTGGTGTGGTGAGAAGGGGGGGATGCCTGCCACCCTCAACAAGAAACACCAGGGACATTCAGCTTTCTGCTGCCACAGTGGGCCTCAGTATATCCTCTTAATTTCTCACATTCACTTGAGGGGAAAGTAGACACCGTTGCGGTATGGAGGCCATGTGATGTGGTGGTTAGAGTGCTAGACTAGGATCAGGGGGGTCTGGGCTCAAGTCCACACTCTGATGTGGAAGTTCACTTGGTGACTTTGAGTCAGCCACTCTCAGCCTAACCTACCTCACAGGGCGGTTGAAAAGAAGAAGGGAATGATACTGGAAGCAACTTTGGATCCCCATTGGGAAGAAAAGGGGGGTTTAAATATCTAAACAAATAAAACCATGCCCTTGCTCACAGTATTGTTTGACCTGTCCTCCTGTAAAACTGTGCTTCCTTCGGGAACTTCTCTCAGGCATGTAGCACACTAACCGTAATGATAGCGGTATTGATAAACAGGATTTCATAGTTGTCATTCTCTTGTACCTTCTCTAGGCAGAATAGAAGAGGTGGTTCTTGAAGCTAGGACTGTTGAAAGAAATGCTGGCCCATATAAGAAAGATGAGCACTCAATCAATGGATTGCCCGATTACACAGTTGAGCTTCGAGAACACATCCAGGTAGTTACCCTCCCCTCCCCTCCCCTCCCCCTTCCCTTCTTTTGATTTGATTTCCTGATAAATGAAGCTGTAGGACTGAAGTGGTTTACTGAATTGTGTATTCTTTTTCTTCTTGACAGCTCAAAGAAAGCAAAATCATAAAACAAGCTTCAGTTGCTACAAAAGGCCCCAATGAATTTGTTCAAGAAATAGAATTTGAAAAATTAACGCCAGGCAGTGTTATTATATTTAGGTAAAATGTGAATACCGTTTTATGTATACAGAATGTTTGGTTGGCTGACTTACATGGAGGGAACATGAATTCAATGGATTAAGAAGGGTGTTGCTCAGGTTAGGATTACACTGTTAGCTTCCAAACTTTTGTGGGGGATGCCCAGATTAACACTTTTTTTGTTCTTTGCTAATATGTGTAGAGTTAGTCTTGATCCGAAGGCACAAGAGGCTGTGGGAGTACTGCGTAGTCACCTGGTCCAGTTCAGTCCTCACTTTAAATCTGGAAGTTTGCCTGATGATAATTCAGAACCTATACTCAAAACACCCTTCTCAGTGTAAGTATGTCTCTGGTGAAACACAGAAGGAATAACGGTAAAGTACAGGCAGGACATGTTAAAGTGTTAGACGGTCTCTGCAGTCTGCTTCCTTCTTTCCTTCACTGCTTCTCCTGTTCTGTTCCCCCACCCCCAATTCTGCAGTCAGCAGTTGTGAAGATTAATAACCTAATAGCTTCTTCACTGGTTTCATCAAGTAGCAATATATAAATTGTCAGTTTCTGTCATGAGCAGTTTGTTTAAAGGTATGGGTTTACAACTGCAGAGTACCATGAGGAACAGGAATTGGCAAATAAGTCACTTTAATCTGTTCTGTAAGTAATAGAGTCACAGGAATATTTTGTTATTTTCTCATTTGTAGGTTTTCGCTTTTTGTAATACAATAATATAAAAATATGTTTGTAGGAAAGGGGGAATTTTTTTTAGGTGGAATGAGCACACATTTGCAGTGGAATCAGTATGTAGGTTGACTTCAGGATATTAAGCGCTCACTAAAACTGGCAATGGCTAGATAAAATGAAGGGGTTGACATGTTCAAGGGCTCTGAAGCATCTCTGCATTTGGAGTCTGTTTTGCTGGATCTTGGATCATTCCACGGAAGGAGCTGATGGCCACGAATCACTTTTGCCCAGCAGCTGTTTCCAGTTCTGTGAAAGTTTACTCAAGTTGTGAGAGCCATGTGGGTAGAGGCTGCCGTGAGGAGGAGGAGAAAGACAAAATTACCCTTTCTGCCTCTTCCATCAGTGTAGCTTTTCAATGGAAGAGGCAGAAAGGACCAATTTTTTTTTCTCCCTGCCCCTTCCCCACTGCTTCTTCCTGACCAAGGTGGCTGCTATTTTGTGGGGGTCCCAAGATCCAGGGGGGTGGAGAAAGTGGGGGAGATCAGCAGCCATCAGTGCCTTCCATTGACAATTTGCGGGAACCAACCCACTGGATTGCAGAGTCTCTGTTTCACCTAGCAACTAAATTAGTTATCTGGATTTTCCCTTTAATTGAAAAAGTCTAGAGCTGCTGGATATGCTGCTAGCCCTGTCACATTCTTGTGTACTGAACATTGCTAGTCGTTCATCAAGTCAAGAGGCTGTGCTTAGAAATATGGGCTGGGTTTTATACCAAAACACAGATTTAAAATTTTAATACTGTATTATTATTTTTCCGAATTACTCTGTTTCTGAAAAGAAAATGGTCAAACAAACAATGAAATGTCTGGCTCTCTTTCTCAGCATTGCATCAAAATTAACGCTGGCAGACCTGAATCAGGTATTATATCGGTGTGATGCTGAAGAACAAGAGGATGGTGGGGGATGCTATGACATACCAAACTGGACACCCCTAAAATATGCAGGCCTCCAAGGTAAAAATTAATATGTGCTGCTTTTGTTTTAAACTAAAATGTGATCGAATGTTTTCTGGGGGAGGGGAGGCAGCATGGTACAGCCTCATCATGAGGAGGAGGAGTTGGTTTCCTACCTCACCCTTCACTGCCCGAAGGAGTCTCAGAGCGGCTAACAATAGCATTCCCTTCCTTTCCC